CGCTCATTGGTTGAACCATCCTACAAAACCTCGCTGTTTGTTAGTGTATGTTGTGTTGAATAGCGTACAAAGCTCTCTCTGTGGAAACAGCTTGTGATAGTTGATCCCTAATGTTAACCAGCTCATAGCCGTTCTCTATCCTCTGGATATAGGCCTCTCTCAGAAGTATTTCTATTCTGTGCAATCTGGTACCAGTCTAGACCTGCTGATCACTTGATGTTGTCGTCTCAGCGTTGTTGAGGTCTGCCGACGCTTCTACGCTCCTTCCAGGGTCTCCATCTTGTTACCTTTCCGCTCCAGCTGTTGCTTGTGTTTCTCGCTACGTGGCAGGCCCAGTTACTTCTGAGGGTGCATTTTTATGTGTAATGTCTTCAACCTTTGTTGTGTTTCTTATCCAATCGTTGGTATTGTGATCCCTTAGTGTAATACCTATCATTCTCCTTTCGATTGCTCTCTGATGTACTTGTAGCTCCTTTGTGAGCGTCCATGTTTCGCTTTTCTTTGTGAGCGTCCATGTTTCGCTTCCATAGGCTACTACTAGCAGAATACATTCGTTGGTTTTCAGCTTCAACGGTAACTTGGACTGGAATATGTGGCGCATTTTACCATACGCCTCCCATCCCAGTCGTATTCTCCTATTAATTTCAAACTTTTGATTGACTTTGCCCAGTGTTATTTCCTGTCCTAGATACTTATAGTAGGACTTCACTTTTTTCACCTGTTGGTTTTCTATCGATATTGTGTCCCTATCTGTTTGCTCATTTGTCATAAATTCTGTTTTTGTTACGTTCATTTCTAATCTAATCTTCTTGGCTTCTTGGAGTAATTCTTTCAGCATGATTTATAAGTAAGTAAGTAAGTAGGTAAGTTAAATTATTGAGGTTTTCTCCAGACAAAATGATCCCTCTATTTTCCCAATGTAATTCCTTGAACACATCTTCAAGGACTAGGGTAAACAGCTTAGGTGATATTATCTCGTCTTGTCTTACGCCTCTTTTGATCTTCACTCTGTTTGTATTTTCATGCATTCTCAATTCTATTTTTGTTGATTCTTGAATTTTTTTGATTATGTTTATATATGTTTGATCTATCCGTGCATTTCTCATAGCTCTTTCTATCTCCCTTCGGTGTCTTGATATTTTTTGCTGTTTCTCTTATTGTTTCCGTTATTCTTTCATTATTTTGATTTATGTCTTCGTGGGGTTTTACTGGGTCTTTCTCCAGTTTTTGTGTTAATTTTGTTGCGAATTAAATTCTTTGTGTTTTACTGGTATGTGTGCCTAATTTCTTTTCGGGGGGTTGAATTTCTTCGCTTTTTCTAGTCTGCCGTTTATGCTAATTCTACATCTTACCATTCTATGATCGCTGCTGGTCGTGGATGAGCCTAAAATGTCATCTTAGATTATGTGTTTTTGATGTGTCAGTATAAAGTCTATTTCATTTTTTGTCTTTCCATCTGAGTTGCTCTCCTTCTAAGAAGTTGATAAGCATGTTGCGTCTTTCGTTTTTTGTAGGTACCATGTCTGAATTTGCCGATGTAACATAATATTAACATAAAACACGGTAAAAATTACAATTATTCGGAGACATTAAATTATCAAATCATACAGGGTTTTAGCTGGAATTTGATTATCAAAATAGTTCTATCTGCCAGAATACTGATTAGCAAATCCTTGCCTTGACAGAAAAGAATTATATCCGTAGTTGGTACGATGGTATCTAATTTAGAAAGGCAGATTAAGCTTTGTTTGTCTAGAAGGGACATGGATATTAATTTTCGCCAGTAGCTCTGTACCAAAGCTATATGAGTGCAGTAGATTATAGAATATGGTAAGATCCTTGTGCATGCGTTTGATCTGGAGAGTTGTATGTGTAGCCTTTAATTAAAAAAAGCTGGCCTTATACTTAAATTTGTGGCCGTAAGTAAAAACCCTAAAGAAAAACTGGTATAGCACTCTGACTAATTTGTATATAAAAAGCAGAATTAGATAGATTTGAAAGGAAAGAAAATGTGGTTCAAGTCTGCAAAGAAAATCTGACGTTAGTCTCACGTCTCACCTATTGGAATGGGTTTTATTTGCCTCGAAAATACTCTGGATTAGTCTGGATCGAGGTCTGGATTCGAAATCCTGGAGAGAGTGAGATGGTCTTAACTCTACTCTTTAGGGCAGCTTTTCACTGATGATGAGAGAAGGTCAGAATCTCTTGTGGGGAAAAACGTGCAAAGTAAAACTTACCGAATGGATGGTTATAGAAATCCGAAATTATCGGCGACATTAGGGCACTTTACGAAAACGTAACGCAACGTAAGGCAACTCAATGTACCATAAATTCGATAATTGAGAATATAAGGTCAAAATCCCTCAAATGCGAAGACAAAAATTAACTTCTTCAGAAAGACATTTTTCTCGGAACCACCAAACGTGAAAGAAAGAAGCACCACATAAGCTTTATTAGCTGTCCTAAAAGTAAAGAGTAGAGATGAGGCATAGCATCGACAAATGTCGAAAAGTACCTAATCAAGGAGAATTGTTAGTATCAAAAATTACAAACAACAATATAGTCTGAGAAAAATTACAACAGCTGACGACTAATGATAACAACAACAATTAACCACTAAAACAATCATAATTTGAAGAATACGACATCGAATAAGCAACAAAAGGAATCGATGGTCCTAAAAACATTACTAATCGGAAGGCCAATTGACAGAAATGAACGACATTTCCGCCGTCAGCTGGCACACAAATCATAAGTGAAATGACCTAAGTGTCATTATAGAATAGAGAGCAATCCGGTGGTTTATGGAACCGGATGCAGAACTGAATCTGGTACTGAGTTCAGCAACAAAACAGAGTACGTGCAGGTACACACTTCATGAACGGACCACAATTTGGAAAACCTAAACTCAAGAATAAGAAATATTCGATTTGTTTACATAAAGATTAATTATTTGGAAATCGAAATTAAATATTTATATTTGAATCGAGGAAAATCATAAGTCGTCAACAAGAACCACTTACAAGTGAAAATAAAATTAATAAAAGATTAGAAAATTTATAGAATCTGTAATTGTCAGGGAAATTATTGTTGAAAAAATGTAAACAAAGCCTAATAAAATCAGAGCAAAATTAAATATTTACAGGAATTTTGAATGGAAAACTGAAAATAAGTGTGAAATAGTTAAAGGCAATTTTGGCACGTTACAAGGTAAGAATAAAGCCATCCTAGAAGTACCCCATAAATTCCCAGACTCTGCAACTTATCAATTAAAACTCTATCGTTAACCCGATCGAACGCCCTTGCATAAGCAGTATACACAGCATGAACTTGATAACCCTCTTTCAAGGATTCCAAGAGATGGTCAGTGGATGTTGAAAGGTTAAGTTATGTGGAGCGATGAGAAATAAATCCAAATTGCTGATCGATAAACCAGCCTTTCAAACTAGCAGACTAAGCAGACAAGTAATCACAAAGAAGGCTCTCAAAAACAACTTAATATACTGGTGGGCCGATAGTTATTAACCTTAGAATATTCTCCAGATTTCAATATGGCAGTAATAAAGCTTGTTTTCCAGGAGGCTGGGAATGTCCCGGTTTTTAAACAGAGGTTAAAGATATGGAAAACAGGTCTTAAGTACAAAAAGCTACAGTGTTTGATAAGTGATGGTGGGATACTATCAGGCCTTGATCCCTTGTTAATAGTTTTTCATCGATCGACGAGAAGGGTATGTCATGTTCCGATGGAATAATGTCCCCAGAAGGCAGACTATCCTGCAGTTGAGTTAGATTGGTTCAAAAAGCTCATATATAACTGAAATTCAATTAAAAAATTCTGAAAATACTATTCCCGGTTCTTCTATTGCTGAAATTTGAATGAAAAAGGCATAAAAAATTTATTCCCGGCGCTCCAAATGCTTAAAATTGAACTAGAGAAAAGTCTTTGAATATTTACGAAATAAAGTTGAGCTAGAGTGGTTCAATGAATTCATATTTGATCCTCGCGGAGCTGGAATTCAATTAGAAAATTTTGAGTGTATAATTTTGATTTTTGACCATTGAAGAGTGAAACTTGAGCGATTCAAAAAGCTCATGTTTGACTCTCGTAGAAATAAAGTTTATTTGGAAAAGTGTGAAAATCCTACTTCCAGACCTACAAAAGCTGAAATTTGAACTAGAGAAGCATCAGTATACAAATTTTACTGACGCACTAACAAAAATTGAACTAGAGAAGTGTGAATTTTTGACCATTCAAGAGTTCAACTAGAGCGGTCCAAAAACCTCGTTTCCCCATCCCCATCGTTATGGCAGTTGTTATCTTCTTCTCTCTTTTTCAAATCAATAGAGAGGGGACGACAATAGAGATAGAGAAAATATCTCCATTCGTTAGTGAGTTCCAGTCTTGATTGCTGACTGTACTAAAACTGGAATTTCAGCTAACAAAGAATGAAAATTTTCTAATCCTAATTCCTAATCATGGTTTTGACTTTTTAGATGAACTTTCAATAGTAAAATTAATTATTATATTGTTCAAAATAGCATTTTAATAATTATTATAACAAAAAATACATCACATCTCCAAGGAAGAATAATTTTGCTTCAATAGAAAATGTCAAGCAACATCAGACGACAAACCCAATAACTAATTTACAAAGTAAGATCCAATAAATTGACGACATTGTTGCGTAAGAAAAAAAATTCTTTTTAAACACTGTTGATTTAATTAAGTATTGCGCGACTAAAGTCAGTTAATTATCCGAACAACTCTTTTCGTGAAACCGTTAATTTGATGGCGCCCAATTATGAAAATTGCTAAAGAGTCGTTGCCTCATTTCCCAGAAGGTCTCACCCTTTCACCCTGATTCGCGACGACTACGAATAATTTCATTTACTCTAGGGCTCGTCACCCTTTCTCTGATGTGTTACTTTAGAAGAATTTTTTAAAAAGTTTGTTGAATTTTCCTCAGACTTGCCTTAAGATTATTTTTGCATTATTGCAGGCGGATGTTTCCTACAGTCAGGGTATCATTCGGCGGTATACGGCCTGATCAAAGGTACGCAGTACTCATAGATATAGTTCCTGTTGACAATAAGAGGTACCGATACGCTTACCATAGGTCTTCTTGGCTAGTAGCTGGAAAAGCAGATCCTCCTGCTCCTTGCAGGATATACGCCCATCCAGATTCACCTTATACTGGAGAACAACTACGAAAGCAAGTTGTATCGTTTGAGAAAGTGAAATTGACGAATAATGAAATGGATAAACATGGACATGTAAGTTGGAATTAAATTGACAATGAAAAATGATTATTGTGAGGAAACTATAAAAGTAAAGCCCTTTAGGTATCTGTTGGTTCTTTTCATTTGCAGCTAGTTCTCAATTCGATGCACAAGTACCAACCCAGGATACTGTTAGTGAAAAGACCTGAAGGCGCGTCTGGAAATGTAACTGATCTAGAAAATGAAGAGTACAAAGTATTTATTTTTCCTGAGACCATATTCACTGCAGTTACGGCTTATCAAAATCAATTGGTAAGTGAATTTTTTGTTTATTGATTATCTCTGGTAGGAAACAGGTGAAAATTATGAAACAAAAGTAAATGTCCCAGTTAAGACTGGTAAATAAACTGTAATTTTTATTATTGTAAGTGTAAGTAATTATTATTGAATCCAATTTTATACGGTCTTTATTTGAAATTAAGTTAATAATAATTGGCTATATGTATATGTAAAGGATCCGCGCAAAAAATTATTATAATATGAAGGATACATTTTTTTTTCCATTCACTTTCATATATTTATTAGTTTAGTGTTCCAATAATTAGCAAATGGAAATAAATAATGGTGATGATAATTTCATGTTACAACCTTTTGCCCTCGAAATAATAGTGATAATATTTGTTATCATTATTTTCATCAAATTAGTTGTGAATGGCATCATTATTGAAATCAAGTCAAGGGCGTATGGTCTAGGTACCTAGGAACTTCGACTAAATTAGTCGGATATCATTCTCATCACAAACATCTTACAAATGTTTGATGCACATTTTATCTACATCATCATCTAAATCTGACGAAGAACTTCCTTGCCTTTCCTGTGTCTAGATATTTTCTATGATGGTCACATGTATCATCATCTCTATTGTTCAAACAACGCAAACATGAGTTTGTTGTTGAACTATCGACACTTCCTTTTTCTCTTGAATGATATTTTCTCCCCAAAATGCTCATTCGTTTCGGATATTAGTGACCAATATGGTAATCATCACATAATTCAATGCAGCTCAAAATAAACATGTCCTTCTTGATCCAGTACCCCTTTTTCGCAGGGGGCCTACATATTCAGGTTTTCGTACTTTAATAATGGGCCTTCCATCCTTCATTACTTTTCTAATTTTTTTTTTTCAGTATACTTCCTTCTGTGTTCTGTATCTTTAAGTTTGGGAGGGTGGTATGCATAGGCATATCCATAATTTTGATTTGGCGGGCTGTGTTAACAAAAAGTATTGACCAAACTTTTTTTTTGGTATCCGGAACTAGATTTTTCTTAAGAAATATCATAATGCATGACATCTTTAATTATTGAGATTTTTCAAAATTTCAATGCAGAAGTGTGTGTTACTTCATTTTCCAAAGACTGTCTCGAGATCTTTTTAGGTTTGTCTAATCTCAAGTGAATGTTCTACTGAAAAACAAAAATATGTAGTAGCTTATGACACAAATCTGGACCCTCACCAAAATATGTAAAATATATTACTTGAGCAGCAAATTTTGGTTTTGGATTATTTCACTCTAACGTCCAAAGCCGAGCCTGCAAAAGATGCTCTAGACTTGAAAGAATTCCAATTATTATAGATGCAGTTACCGGACTACGTCATCTCCCAGCTAAGAGATGTAGAAACTGGTATATATTATTATTCTACAACATTACTATGAGATTTAATACACAGACCAGTTACAATTGACCTTCTCACATGAAATGTATTATTAAAACATTTTCAAGGTACATAATTTCGGTTGAAAATTTTCGATAAACCCAGTAATGAAAATTGTTGATATGACATTTATCGTTCTTCATTTTTCAAAGCCGGCGCATCACAAATAAAACTGGCGCATTTAGAGGAAAAAAAGGCAGAAAACATAAATTATGTTTCGGGAGGGTTGTTTGACATTACTGGCAAGCTCGTTAGTGGCTTCCTAACACATTGATGTTGTGAAATGTGTCATGTTAAGCTCGCGAGGTATCTCCCCGTCCCAGGGCAATTCGTCACTCGTCGGGGTCTCGAATCATGTGTCGCGCCACACACGCGCTTCGTGTGAAACGTCCTGTCTCATTTAAAAACTATTATTTATGTTTGCCTCCGGATCAGGAATGTTGTTGCCGCACCGGTGTTGTGATGCTGCTGGTTCGGTAAAATTATACCTTTGGAATTTTCGCAAATGTTACTTAATTGAATATTATCTGATGATTTCATTGTTACATGGAATATTCATTGTTGGAACTGGGACGCAACTTCCAACATCTAATGAATTTATTCGAAATATGAATGAATGTGGTCAAATAAAGATTGCATATATAATTTTTATGAGCTACTCATTGGGGGAGGCAGAAGAGGAAGTACCTACCAACCTACCTTTTTCACAAAAAATAATCAGATGATTAGAGTTGCAATCATGTATTGGAAAGATGGATAGTAAATGCACCACAAAAAGAGATGTTGAAATAAAGTAAGATCTATTTGCCTTAAGTCTGATACAATGGAAACAGCTCTTGACAAATATTGTAGTCAGTGAAGGAGCGACCTAAAAAACACTTTTCTAAATTTTCTATTTGTACCAAATGAATAGTTTTTTCTCACACAAGGTGGACTTGAAAAAGTACAGATGGCAAAAGACATAACGAAATCACAGATCAAGGCCAGAATTAGCCCAAAATATATTCTGTCCTACAAAAATAAAAGAGCCGAAGTTTAACGAAAGCAAAAATCGAAAAAAGAAGACATCTAAAAGCCAACAAACTATCAACATAATTAAAAAAGACATCTCCAAAGCCATCAGGATATATTTGAGACGATACATAAACAACAAAGTTAGACGGACAATTGGAAAAAGAAAATAGGAGCATGAAAATAATGAAGAGAAAATTTGCAAATAGAGAAAGGGAAATCTTCAAACTTGAAGATAAAACTGGAAAAGAGACATTCAAAAGGGACATGTGGAAGTCGTCTGATTTAACTCCGAGTAGTGCTGCAGCCGTAGGCTTATTGTGCTAAACCTTCCTGTTTGATGCACCTATTCCAAAACTCTGGCTCCCTGCAGTAGGCGAAGTAGGTGTGTTAGTTGTTTGCTGTATGTGTCTGGATCTAGTTCATCTCCAAATATATTTTGTCTTCTGCCAGTTAGTGCCTCGCATTTTGATATAATGTATTGGGCTGTTTCGGTCTCTGTTCCGCATGGTCCGCAGCTCGTGTCTCCGTTGTACAAGCACATTGTTTGCAGGTGCTTCTTCACTTGGGCGTGCCCAGTAAGAAAGCCGGTTGCTACTCTGAGTTGATTCCTGCTTAGTTTTAGCAATCTTTTTGCTTTTTTACTGCATTATTTCACGCATGAATATTTTCCCATGTGCATGCTTGGGTATTTGCTTCCAGTATTGAGAATGTTTTGCATGCGAGTTCATCAGCCTTTTCGTTGCCCGGGATACCTCTATGTCCTGGCACTTACATCAATGTGAGGTTACTTTGGTCCGCCAAATTGTTCAGTTCTTCTCGGCATTCTATTACCAGTGTAGAGCTTGCTTTAGGGTTCTTTAAGGCCCCCAGTGCTGCCTGTCTGTGATTGAAGTGAGTCTCCTGTCTTTGCAGGCGCTCATATTGTCGATTCTTACGAATTGTAGTATTGCATATACCTCTGCCTGGAAAACAGATGTATGTGACCCTAGAGAGAAGAAGGCCTCGCATCTTCCTTCTTGATTGCAGATTCCTGCGCCTGGTGGCATTCTCAGTCTCTGACCCGTCCGAGTACCAGGTCTGGCCTTTGAGATTGAAAAATGCATGTTGGTTTTCTCATTCCTTCCTTTAATTAATTAGGACTTGGAAAGATATGTCGGGTGAGTATTTGGGAAGTGCATAATCAGTTATGTGTCGAATACTGTCAGATTTATGACTTCCTTTATTTGTGTGTGGCCTGATCTAACTGTTAGTTTACTCAGGTTGTTTCCTTGACTGTGAAGGCCCATCCTAGCTTCCACCTAAATTACTGCGGAGGTAGAAATAGTCTAGTAGAACTTCCACAGCTGTTGTTGGTGTGCTTTTCATGCACCCTCTAATACCCAGACAGGCAAGTCTATGCACCCTCCCAAGTCTCATTTTGGCCCTGTCTTGTTGCCTTTGTCCACCATATCAAACACGCATAGGTTATCGCTGGCTTTACAACCGTTGTGTATAGCCAGTGCATCATGTCTGCCAGATCCCTCCATGTTTTACCAAAAATGTTCTCCTGGCCAGTATAAGTGCCAGTTCTAAACGAACTTTCAATTGCTTTGTCCAGATGTTTGTTTCAAGGCAATTTTGAGTCTATGATTACCCCAAGATAAAATCTTCGTCCGACATCGTAACTGGATTTTCCTTAAGGTAAAGAGGTCCAAGTATCTCTATTTTCCTTCTTTTGTGGTATAGGGGACGATTGTCGATTTGGTAGCACTAATTTTCAACCCGACGATCTCTGTCCACCTAGAGACTTTGTTACAGCCTGGTGCATGCGATCTCTAACTTTATGGTTGAATTTTTCCTGGGATATTAGGACCAAATCATCTGCATATCCGACTACTTGATGATTCTTGCTCTTTAGTAGCTCTATCAGCTCGTCTATCGCCAGATTCCACAGCAGGGGTGATAACACTTAACACTCCGTCTTGCGGACATCTCTTTACAACCCGAGCCGTTACTGTTTTACCTAGGAGCATGGAGTGGATAACTCTAGCTCGAAGCATGCAGTCTATGCATCTGCAGCATGTATCATCAATACCTCGTCGGTGTAGAGCTCTCATAATTTCCCTAAAGGAGATGTTGTCAAACGCTCCCTCTATATCAAGGAAGGCTCGCAACATAAATTCCTTATTTTCCAAAGTACTTTCTACCCGCTGGACGAGGCGATGTAGTGCTGTTTTAGTTATCAATCTTGCATGGCCAAAATATTCCTGATAACTAAAACAAATCAGTTATGATCTTGCTACATAAGAAAGGTGATAGAACAGACCTTGAGAACTACAACCAATCAGCCTACTCAACCATCTATACAAAGTGTACACTCGCATAATAACGAATCGACTAGAAGCCAAACTGGATCGGCTTATTCACAGTTCTCGAGTTTTTTTAAGAAATTGCCTTGAGAACAAAAAGGAAAACAGATGATGGAGAAAACTTCAGCCACCTCAGCTTTGCGGACGATATTGTCCTAATTTCGTGTATGCGCGTATGCTCGAAGAGCTTCATAATTCCATGAAAGATGTCGGATTAAAGGTGAAGTTATAGAAA